GCTAACAGGCTAAGCTGAGGTTCTTCTTCCATGAAGCAGCTCTGTTGTCCTCCATCTATATTTTCAGTTACAGGCTGAGTCATTTCTACCTTCTCCTTTCTGTCAACGCTCTCTGGTTTCATTTAAGAGTCAATCGTCAGATATTGTCGAAGATTAACCTTCAGGGTGGATATGGCTCACTAGCAGCCTCGCACCGATGACCTAGTTGATGTCATCATTTACCCAGAATGCTTTGCGTGTAAATAAAATGTCCTCGTCCGTGTAAAATATTTTTAAACGTTTAGTTTAAAAATGATAAAAACTGAACATCCTACAGTATTTTTACAGTCTTTATTTTACAGTTAATATGTTTATCATATAAAGTCTAATGTTACAACTAATCAGGGATCCCTTTAAGAACATTTGAACAATCCTGCAAAAAAAAAGTATCAACTGACAAATGATGGATGGATTTTACAAATGTGTGTTGGAGAATATTTTATCTATGTTCAGTAAAATGTATGAAAAACTAGTAAGGAGGTACTGTGCAAGCATTTTTGGTACCATTTAAGGCTCCCCTTAGGTTATTAATTCATCTGTAAACATTTTATAAATCATTAATACATGTTTATTATGCAATAATAAAGTACAAGAAAGAGACAAAACCGCGCCTAAAAATTCTGTCCATAAAATTTATGAACAGAATTGGTGACAAAGGGCAACCTCGGCGGAGTCCAACTCTCACTGGAAACGAGTCCGACTTACTACCGGCAATGCAGACCAAGCTCTGGCACCGGTCATACAGGGACCTAACAGCCCGTATCAACGGGCCTGGTACCCCATACTCCCGGAGTAACCCCCACAGTCCCCGAGGGACACGGTCGTACGCCTTCTCCAAGTCCACAAAACACATGTAGACTGCTTGGGTGAACTCCAGGACTCTGCTGAGTGTGTAGAGCTGGTCCAGTGTTCCACAACTGGGACAAAAACCACACTGCTCTTCTTGAATCTGAGATTCAACTATCTGACTGACCCTCCTCCAGCTTTCCCAGTCTTTTGTTGACCCTGTCCCAGCTGTTTTAGAATGTGTCGAAGCATCAAATTCAAAATGAGTGAATATTTACAAATAAATAAATAAATAGTTTATCTGTTTGAACATTAAATATCTTGTCATTGTAGTGTGTTCAAATAATCATCATATTGTTTTTATTCACATTTAACACAATGTCCCAACGTCATTGGAACTGTGGCTGTGCATGTCTTGTACTAGTCTAACATGTCCTGCTGTCCTCACRCAGRTCTTGTGCCAGTCTGTTCTTCTCTGCTTACAATGCCAGCTTTAAAAATTTAATAAACTGAAACCAACAACTGAAATTCTGTGATGGCTTGCTGTTTTGGCGTGCTACCTCAAATCTGTCATTTCCTCAATATGGCTGCCCTTAGACAACTTTTTGGAGGTGCCAGTGTTCATTCTGCAGATGCAGTCATGTTTTCTGTGTTCCTCAATGAGGTTGTCATATTAGACTAGTTGTAGTTCAATGTTCCAGAATATTTAGTCAGTTTGACAGATAATGAGCTACAGTTTGAAGTAGTAGTAGCCAAGAATTATTACCAACAAATAACAGATTGTCCAACAAACAAACTGTTTTATTTACAAAAACTTGTTCATGTAGAGGCCTACAGAATGTATGAAAAGGGATTAAGCTGGGATTTTGGTGTAAACCTGAATTAATTAAGCCTTGAATTGATTACATGGAAGCAGCACTTATGTGCTCTGAAACTAAACTGGTCCTGACCAGGTTTAAAGTGGAGCTTATTTAATCTGTTAATGTTTCTTAGCAGTAAAGTCACTTTACAGTAAAAACTGTTCATCTAACAGTCTTAAAATCTTATACAGTACACTGCAAAAACTGTCCATCTTACCAAGTTTTAAAATCTTATATCCAGCCAAAAAGTCTTTTTGATCTTCTTTTGAGACTGATTTACTAAACAAGAACTGATTGTGTAAGAATAATCTTGTTTTCAGAATGTGTAAGATTATTTGTCTTGTTAGCCTGAAATTTTGACTCAAAGTAAGTCAAAATTTTCTGCCAGTGGAGTAAGAAAATTTTACTTGGTAAGATTCTTGAAATAAGAAAAAAATTAGTCAAATCAAGTATTTCAAGACTCTTACCAAGTAAAATTTTCTTACTCCATTGGCAGAAATTTTTGACTAAATTTGAGTCAAATTTTAAGACGAACAAGACAAATAATCTTACACATTCTGAAAACAAGATTATTATTCTTACACAGTCAGTTCTTGTTTAGTAAATCAGTCTCAAAACAAGATCAAAATGACTTTTTGGCTGGATATAAGATTTTAAAACTTGGTAAGATGGACATATTTTGCAGTGTATCAGCTAAAATGTAGTTTTGATCTTGTTTTGAGACCGATACACTAAGCAAGGTCAGAATGTGTTGGATTATTAATCTAGCCTGAAGTTTTCTTTACTTCAACGAGTCTTGCCAAGTGCAACTGTCAAACTGCAGATTATTAATTTGAAAAGATTCAGAGTATAATCTATTAGAAATCAGTGTTTCATACAAATTTTAAATGTATTCTTTTTTCTTTGCATTAAAATATTACAGTAAATACATTTTATTATCAGATTATACATGAAAAAACAAAAGCCATTATGTCGTTTGGTTTTAGCTGTCCAAAAGATATTGTTACACAATCCTTTGGTTCAGAAGCAGGCTGTATTTTGCAATGAGGCCTACAGAGTCCTATGTAAAGCTCTTGGGTGTTTTGCTTTGTCATTTCTTTGAAGGTTGTGATCTCTGATGTCAAGTTGAACATGAGGGACAAAAAGTCCCAAAGGACATTCAGGGATCCAAGGAGCCAGATTAACTGAGCTCAGGACAGATGCATTAACGTTGTGAAAATACCAACATGTTCCCTAGAGGCAGCAGCAGACCACATTCCCTGCCAACCACAACACAAACACAATAAAAATAGTCCTTTTGGTATTTAAGCTTTACTTTAGTGTCTCTACTGGCAACAATAAATATCCTGCAACACAATACAGCTTATAGTGACTGACATGGATACAAACAAAAATATAAAAAACAACAAGAAGTAGCTTTGGATAGCTGCAACAAGACAAACATTATTGCACATTTCTGTACAGTTTGGCAAAGCACATGACTGTGAAGTCATGTGACTTTTTTTAAATGATGGCCTTAAATTCAAACTGCATGACAAAACTGTTAAAATATAAAAAGGCAGATAAACTGAACTTAGAAAACACATTTCTCTAAGATTCAAGACAGAAAACTAAACAAAGGCGCTGAAACAACAGTCACACATTCACCCAAACCTGAACTTCCTGTCTTATCATAAACTGTCTAAMTTATAACGTGACCMATCATATAAAAATGAGGATTAAGTCAAATTTGGTCAAAATGACCCAATTACATTTTCAGATTCTTGGCTTTAAAAGCTACATTTTGATACCTGGATCATTCTTATGTCGTAGGTAAATGCATATATATATATATGACTTAATTTGTCTTGTTGGTTACTTTAATACATAAATATTTGGTCTGAATCCTAATTTTATGTCCTTTTAATGAGGAATTTTTTTATGTCCTTATAAAGAGGAAACCACAAATTATATTTGAATATTGAGATTTCCCAACTAAAAAACAAAACAAAACTTTGCTAGCGCACAGGGAAAATCTCAGAATTTTAAGGCGTTTTTCCTCATCAGTTTTTTTGTTGCTACTGCTCAAAACTGCTTCAAAATTAGTTTTATGATTATATTTCAGACAGTTCATTCAACTGATACACTGATAAGGCATTAATTCATTATATTTTGACAAAATGCAATTTTTGTTAACATTTTAGTCAAAACACTATATTTGCCTATTTCTCCATCCACTTTTGGACTTAATCCTCGTTTTGATGTGATGGGTCACTAATATGAATATYAAACATGTAAAAACAGAACTGACAATAATTCTTGATTGTAAAAAAATTAAACACTTTAAGGCAACACATTTCAAGGTTGCACAGAGAAATTAATCTGTAGCTTCTTTATGAAGCAACACAAACATGTAGACAGAAACTAATAAAAACCAAACACTGACAGATGGAAGATATTAAAACTTTTTAGAAAATATGAAGAAAATGTTTGGAAATATTCATATTTGGAAACTGCACTGATTGAAAGTTTTTGTTGGTCTTTAATTGCTGGCATCATGGTCATGAATTTGTTGTTTGTTGTTGCAATAATTYACCTTCTTTAGGCCAGAATCTCACTGGGCTGAAACTGTTAGCAGCTAGATGGCAAAAAGCATCTCGAATGAAGTCTGCTAAATGTGTGTTTTTGTTCCGTGTGAGTCACAGGGGCTCGCTATCTCGTCACTTCCTCTTTGAATAAAAAAAAAAAAAGTCAACCAGTTTTCTCTCAAGTCACAAAGTCRTCATGTCTTGATTTAGTTTCCGAGCTGTGTTTGACACCGGCACATTAACTCTTAATCTAAATGTCAAAAATCTAGAACTCAGATTTTAAAAAATTTGAAAAAAGCACTTTGTGCACACCTGCCAAGGAGCCACATGTTTAACTGGTCACTTGTTTGAAACAAACAGTGAGACTGAACAGATTATTTTCATTTTTTCTCGTCATTACGAGTCTAACTGGTCTCCAGCAGGTGCAGCTCAGTGGGACACCACAGTTAGAGCTGGCTTTCAGAGTCTGCTGCCAATAGGAGGGCTCATTGGACATTATTTTCTATCCAGCAGCAGCTTCTGATAGCTAAAGAGAAACAATAAATTCCAGCTGACAATGTTTTCACTGCTTCCATCAGTGTTTCTGGTTTAGCTGCAGATGGCATTTTGTAGAGAAATGATTTCTCTGACTGGCCTAATGGAACCTCAGCTGAGGAAGAAAGGGAACAATAGTAGGATTTTCATGAATGACCCACTATTTAAACATGATGATGATAAATGTCTTCAGAGAGCCTGGAGCCTCTCGGACCATCGTCTTTATGCTGGGCTGTGTGAGAAGTAAACTGGACTTTCCACACACAGCGATGCTGCTTACTTAAATAAATCAATGTTGGCATGTTGCCCTGTAGAAGTCCTCCCAGAGAGCCTCAGTAACAATAGTAGAGCTGAGAGCGCAGCCCCCTGACCGTGTCCTCATCCTTCCCTCCGGCATGCTCGCCTTCAAACAGCATGGAGTCTGGGAGCACCACTCCCTCCAGTGGATCGGGCTGGCAGAACTCCACGATGAACTCCTCCTCACAGTCCAGCAGCAGCCTGGACCATGCGCTCATATCCAGCCGCCCGGCGGTGCCGCCGTACCCCTCCGGCAGAACGGATGGTGGGATGTTCTGGTGCAGTGAGCGCAGGTCGGAGCCATGAAGGACGTACTGTCCAAAGAGACAGAAAACACTCGTCAGAGATGTTGGCCCTCTTATTAGTAGCTAAAATCAGCATTTGAAGAAACGAAGAAAAAAGGAATGTGTAGTACTACACAGGGTTACACAACACAGATGGTGCATTTATCTACACTGCCTTTCAAATTATTATGCAAATTATATTTTATTATTGTTGATACAGCTGTTAGGTCCCTGTACGACCCGTGTCAGAGCTTGGTCTGCATTTCTGGCAGTAAGTCAGGCTCTTTTCCAGTGAGGCTGCTCTTTGTCATCGATTCTGTTCATAACTTTTATGGACTGAATTTCTAGGAGCAGCCGAGGTGTTGAGGGGATCTGTTTTGGTTGGCCTTAGGATCACATCTCTGCTTTTTTGCAGATGATGTGGTCCTATTGGCTTCATCAGATCCTGATCTCCAGCTCTAACTGGAGCGGTTCACAGCCGAGTGTGAAGCGGCCGAGATGAGGACCAGTGCCTCCAAACCTAAACTCAATGTATTCCCTGGTCCTAAACCCCCAATCCCACCAAAGGCATTTCCCCAAATGGGAACTAGGCTTAGGTCCCCATATGTACCAATTGTCCTACCACAAAGTGAAACTTGAGTAAAAGTACACATATCTTACCAAAAACGTACTTTGGTAAAGGTTAAAGTCTCCTTTAGGAATATTCCTTGAGTAAAAGTCTTAAAGTATYTGATATTTTTTGTACTTAAGTATTAAAAGTAAAAATATTGATTTAAAATGAGCAGTTACATTTTCTGTAAGGACATGTATTAGGAGGTGACCTCCCCCCCCAAAAAAAGATACAGAAATGACTATATTTTATTAAAATAATTAATCTATGTTAAATTTAGGATGCACTAGTCCAGCTGTTTCAGTTTATATACATATATCAAGGCTGCACAAAGCTTTTCCCMAAAWWRAAAATMAAAGAAAGAAAAATAATTACTCAAGTAAAGTACAGCATTAGCCCTGATGCTATATTGCCTTATATGTATTAGCTCAGCGCTACACATTCTCCTCGTCACTGAGGTCCTCCATCCTCATGACAGAGAGGGGAACACAAAAATGACTCAGCCTGTAACTGAAAATATGGATAGAGGACCTCAGTTTACCTGGTTTGTCGCGCTAGCACCGAGCTAATACATATAAGGCAATATAGTGTGAGGGCTAGCATGAAAGGCTAACAGGCTAAGCTGAGGTTCTTCTTCCATGAAGCAGCTCTGTTGTCCTCCATCTATATTTTCAGTTACAGGCTGAGTAATTTCTACCTTCTCCTCTCTGTCAACGCTCTCTGGTTTCATTTAAAAGAGTCGATCATCAGATATTGTCCAAGATTAACCTTCAGGGTGGATATAACTCGCTAGCAGCCTCGCACCGATGACCTAGTTGATGTCATCATTTACCCAGAATGCTTTGCATGTAATGGTTCTGTCCGTGTTAAAATATATTTTAAAAAATTTACAAAACTAAACAGCCTACAGTATTTTTACAGTCTTTATTTTACAGTTAAAATATGTTTATCAAATAAAGTTTGATGTTACAACCAATCATGGATCCCTTTAACAAATGAATCAAAGTTTGGCTGAATGTCAGGTTCTGATGCAAAGAACAGAGGAGATGATTGTCAGTGGCTGTGTCTCAATTCATGGGCTGCAGCCGACATGGGGCGCATTTGTCGGCCGCTTACCTCACTGCCCCGCGCCGTAGACCGACCCAATTCATGTGCACCTATATGGCCGACAAAACCCTGAAAACGTAGGCTGCATCCGAGTATCCTATGCAGCCAACAGACCCCCGAATGCATTGCACCATCAATAAATTAAACAGAAAAACAATGACGGCTGKTTGGGAATTCATCACAGAACCAAAAATGTAAATTTAGCAACTTAGCTGAAGAAACCTTTGTTGCAATGAGACGTTAAATAAAATGTGGTAACAAGTACTGATACTGGAGCTAAACTCAAGTTCAAGTTTATTTATATAGCGCCAAGTCACAACATACGTTGTCTCAGGGCACYGTACATAAAAAAAATCTAAAGAAACTCAAATTATTAATGCTTTTTATTTATTTATATGTAACGTTTTTCTATTAAAACTGAATTATGTGAAGTTATACCCTGAAAAACCAACTGAAGCCATGTGATATAAAATGTATCACTAGGCAGAGCATGGTGACACAAACATATGTCTTCTGTAGAGTTGACCGTCTCATTTCACAGGCGTTTATGCAGCCGACACAAACGGCCTGTGACCAACGTCGATCGTGGTCTACGTCGGCTGCAACCCATGCATTGACAGCCAGTGACAGAGGATCTGGATCTGTTGAACTTCACGACTGAGAATGTCTGTTCACATATGTAGGTAGATCCAAAGAGAACTGATCTAAGAGCTGCTTGGAGTACTTGAAGTAAAATAACTATATAAATAAATAAATTGGTGCCCTGGACGAAAGTCCCCTGTAGTTGCCCACCTCTGGTCTGGTATGTTATAACGCTGCAATTCAAACAAAACTTTATCCGTCCGTCCATCTGTTTTCTTCCTCTTATCTGGGGTCAGGTCGCAGATACTGGTAGCTTTGGCACTGTGTGCAGGAGCCAAGTCCTGTTGGAAAATGAAATCTGCATCTCCAAAAAGTTGGTCAGCAGCAGGAAGMGTGAGGTGCTCTAAAACATCCTGGTAKACGACTGCGTTGACCTTGGACCTCAGAGAACATGGCACCAATGCCCCACCGACTCTGGGACCTTGATTTCCAAAAGAAATGCCATCAGAGAAGACAACTTTGGAGCACTCAGCAGCAGTCCAGTCCTTTTTGTCTTTAGTCCAGGCGAGATGCTTCTGACGCTGTCTCTTGTTCAAGGCTTGACACCAGGACTGCGACACTGAAACATGTCTTCATACGTCTGAGTGTGGTGGTTCTTGAAGCTCTGATTCCAGCTGCAGTCAACTCTTTGTGAATCTTCTCCACATTTTTGAATGAGTTTTGTTTCACAATCCTCTGCAGGGTTCAGTTATCCCTATTGCATGTACAATTTTTCTACCACATCCCTTCGCCTCTCTATTAATGTGCTTGGACACAGAGCTCTGTGAACAGCCAGCCTCTTTAGAAATGATGTTTTGTGTCCTGCCCTCCTTGTTCAAGGTGTTAATGGTCGTCTTTAGGACAACTAAGTCAGCAGTCCATGATTGTGTAGTCTACAGAACTAGACTGAGACCATTTAAAGGCCTTTGCAGGTGTTTTGAGTTTATTAGCAGATTAGAGTTTGACACCAGGCGTCTTCAAAATTGAACTTTTTCACAATATTCTAATTTTCTAAGATAATGAATTTGGGGTTTTCATTGGTTGTCAGTTATAATCACCAAAATTAAAATAAACATTTGAAATAAATCAGTCTGTGTGTAATGAATGAATATAATATACAAGTTTACTTTTTGAATGGAATTACTGAAATGAATCCATTTTTTTCCATAATATTCTAATTTTATGACCAGCACCTGTATTTTGCAAGTGGTCCTCACTCTGTRGCAGAAATAAGTACACAAACACACACACTTGTTCTTGCATCAAACTGAGGACATTGCATTGTCTTCCATTCATTTGTGTAACTGTATTCATGCCTAACCCAGACATTTYTCCTAACACTAACCACTACTAGTACATTCCTAACCCTATCTTGAACCAAAACTTCATTCACACCATACCTCTAAAACTAACTAGTAGAATACAGCAGGGGTGCAAACAAAGTGAGGACCAGGACAAGGGGTTTGTAATTTTACCAGGTATTTTATAATTTAACAGTTTATAAACAGACCTTTACTTAAGTACTTACTTTTACTTAAGTACTTTTCTCATCAGTGAAATTTATTTTTACCAAAGTCATATTCTGTTGAGGTAGTTTTACTTTCACTTAGGCATTTTTTCCCATGTACTTTATACACCTCTGGTTATTTGATATATCAAACTGAAAAAACAGATCCAAACACCCAGCGGTTTGGAGATGAAAATAATTAAGGTCATCAGGGGTGCCCAAACTTTTTCTTATGACTGTAAATATTGACTTGAATTAACTTTAAAAAGTAATAAAGGCATGTTTGTTGGGTTTATAAAATTGTTTTTGCAGTTATTAAATTAAGCAAACGTAAAATCTACAGACTTTTAGTTTTTATGGAGTGAATTAATTTAAATGAAGTAAAAAAAACCTTTTGGAACACAGGGCTGAGGAGGGAATCTGGCAGGGCAGCAGAAACCAGATCTTTGTTTAAAACAAGAGTGATATGATTGAAGGAGAACAGTTACCCTCTCTGCCATCTTCTCCTTCAGAAACGGTTTGATGATTGCAAAGATGCCCTTGAAAATCCTGGGCTCATTAATGATGTTGACGGCCTTGATTCTGATCGGGAAGCCATCCTGTGGACAAGAACAGCACAGAAATGGTTATTCTGGAAGTACAGTTGTGTTCAAAAATAATAGCAGTCCCACATCACTAGCAAGATAAATCACCTTTTTTGTTTGAATTTCAACTTCTACACTGCAAGTAAGTTTCTAGAAGGTTTAGTAAAGGTATAGAAAACCAACAGACCCAACAGGCATAATGTGCATGCTGCTGATTCTGTGAAACGGAATCATTTACTTTATTTAATTTTGCATTATTTAATCATTTAGAAAAATAGCAGTGCTGAGTTCAGTTAGTGAGGTCATTGATTACCGGTATGTGAAAAAACAGGTGTTAAACAGGTAGTCCTGTTTTAAGGTTCAAGGCAACTGATGCTGCTGCTGGATGTGAATTTGTTCTTGAAAAACAGAGTAACTTGGGTCGTTCAAGACACTGTTCAGAAGAAGAGCTTTCTTTGATCAAAAAATTAATAAAAGAGGGGAAAACCTATAAAGAAGTGCAGAAAATGATATCAAATGCTTTAAAATGGCAGTCAAAACCAGAAAGTCGAGGAAGAAAAAGAAAAACAACTATTCGAGTGGATCGTAGAATAACCAAAATGGCAAAGGCTGAGCCAATGCCTGTGAGTACTGCAACAATCAGACCACGTGTACCAGCAAGAAGCCACCGCAAAGTCCCATTGTTAAAAAAAAGACATGCTGAAGCAGTTACAATTTACCAAAGAACGCACTGACTGGCCTAAAGAGAAGTGGCGTTATATTTTACAGACTGATGACAGTAAACTTGTTCTTTTTGGCTCTAAGGGCCACAGACAGTTTGTCAGACGTCCTGCAAAAACCTGAATTCAAGCCACAGTACACAGTGCGGATGGTAAAGCATGGTGGTTCAGTGTTTTATGATCTGGGGATGTTTCTCATACTATGGTGTTGGTCCTGTTTATCACATACCAGGGATCATGGATCCGTTTGAGCACACCAGAATACTGGAAGAAGTGATGTTGCCGTAGGCTGAAGAAGAAATGTCCTTAAAATGGGTGTTTCATCAAGACATTGGGCCTCATGCAAGAACTGTTCGTACGCACAGATTTGTTCTTAAGTTGTGCGTATGAGTGATTTAGGAGAATTTGTGGCATTCACCAATGTTTTCGTATTCTGATTTTTTTTCAGATACGAACAAAATTCA